CTCATGGAGAACGTCTTTTCAAACTTTTACCCCCAGTGTCTGTCTGTTTGTCTGTCTCTGTCCCTCGGAGAGAACGTCTTATCCAGTGTGTTTGTCCGTCTGTCTACTGTCTGCCTGTCGCCCTCACAGAGAACATCTTATCCGATTTGTCTGTCTGTCCTTCTGTCTGGCTGTTTATCTGTCAGTCTGTGCGTAGGTGGTTAGCGGGTGCTCTGGTGTGGTTTACTTCTTCTTTCCTATCAAACGTCGATCGTCCTTATCTCCCCTTCTTCTTTTTTATATAAATTGTTACTCTCTTACTCTTGTAACACCTCTAATCTTCAGGCGCTCGTATGGCCTGATGCAGTTACGAGCGCTGAAAATTTTTTTACTAAAACAGAAAAAGAGCCCTCTTTGTTTGTTTGCTTGTTTGTTTGAGAAGCACATCGACACAATAATGATCAGGGAAGCCTGCTTCCTAAATTGTCCAAATAATGTTGTCAAGGTCAAGGAATGTGTACCTAGTGAGAACCCGAGACTCCACCTAGCCACTGTGACAGGGTCGGCAATGTCGCTTATGGTCGGTGCTCTGTCTGTCTGTCTGTCTGTCTGTCTGTCAATTTGTCTGTCTTTCTGTCCGTTTTGTCTGTCTTTCCATTTGTCCGTCTGTCTGTCTGTCTGTCCCCCTGCCTCTCCGTCTGTCTGTCTGTCTGCCTGTCCGTCTGTCTGTCTGTGTCGACAATACACCACGTAATGTATTATTTATGGTCGGTGCTCTGAGGGACCCTCGACGAGCCGAACTTAGGCAAAAATCTGGTCATTGGGGGACCATTTACAAATTATGTCAGCTAAAATTTGGCCCAAAATGACCTCCCACCCCCACCCCCTTGCCATCTTCTGTCATCTTTCTCAGGAGACTCCCCAACCCCCTAATTATTGACGTCATCCAAAATGTGCATAAATGCATAAATTTAAATAGAACCTGTACTAGATCTGTCCCCGTAGAATTATGCAAATTTAGATGGCCAAATTATGCCCCCCAAAAAGCCAAATTATGCAAAAATTATGCAAGTTACCGTAACACCATTCGCGAAATGTTTTGCACTTTTTCAACACGAATGTTCATGATTTTCATGTTTTATGTACAGAAAAATTTAAAACAGAACATATCAGTATCAGTAATTTTTTGTGTATTTGGAAAGAAAGCAATACACATCAGTAAAAAAAACAACAACCTAAAAATATAATCTCTGTAACTTTCAGCTGTAGATCTAGATCTAGTTCTATAATATTGTAGGGGAAAGAAAAATGTTTTAAAAAATAAGAAAAAGAAAGGACATCTGGACCTCTGATGCTGGCACATTACTAAAACCAGGGACACCTGTCAAACATGAAACATCAGCAGACATGAGAACAACAACTTTTGATGGATTGGAAAATTGAACGATATGCTCAAGGAACAAAATCTCAACCCATAACCAAGATCTTCTAACAAGGGAAGTAACCAAGTTTTCACTTAAATGGGACTTATTACGGTGATTATTTCCCTTTAGTCACATGGCGAGGCGTTAATAATTAACTTAATTGTTTTGTGAAAAAAAAAAAGGAAAAAACCGTGAAAAAACGCGGGGAACCCAAAATTGTGCAAATGTTGCAAAATTACGTGAAAAAACGCGGCCGCATCGCATAATCCTATGGGGACAGCAGGATGCATTTAATATTACACCTTTGATCTTTATTTTAAATTTTAAAATAAAAACTTTTGTTTATTAAAGAATACAAGTTAATACAACAAAGAAATAGCTGAACTGTGGAATAATATTAGGCCTATCTATATGTTCCAATTTAACTGTGTTAATTTTAGGCCAGGAAAATGTCGTCTATAGGCCCTAGGCAAGGAGATTAAAAGTAATGGAGGATGCTCTGTGGGCGGCACCGCACGCCTGATAGGAGCCCTCTCTCGCAGCGGAACTGTGGGCTACCTGCGCTGCGCGAATGCCCGACTCAGGCACTGAAATCTAGATAGAAGAAGGTTTTATTCCGAGGTCCTTGAGATAAGGCAAGTCAATTAGTAAAAATGCCTTGCATCTGTGTTGTATTTAAGTGTAAGAACCGATATGATTCTGCAGTGGACCGAAGTTTTCACAGTTAAGTTGTTTTCCTTTTAAAAAATTTGAATGAAAGTGTTTCTATGCCCCCAGCAACACAATTTAGATAATTAATATTCATTAGAGGCTGGCTCCGGCGCTGCATGCCAAAAGCCAACCCAGGCTGAAAGGGATACAACACCCCAGCAGAAAGACCGAGATACTCAATTTTTTAAAAGTATTCTTATTCATAAATATATATACACATGTAATTATTATGTGTATATATATATATATATAGTTATTATGTGTGTGTATGTATATACATATTATACATTTTAATTAAAGATATTGCTTTCCTTTGTGTGTGCAAATTAGATGCTCCTGTAGTCTAAATGTAAATATCTAGAGGCTCCATTAGAATATGAAATCAATACTCAACAACAATAATGATGAATATTTTCTATATTAAAGAAACACCAAACCATATCAGATGAGGGGAGAAGGTAGGGTGGGGTGGATAAGAGTTTGAGTCTTGTTAGATAGAACTATACTCGGTTTAATTCTATTGTTGTAGATCTAGTCTTCATCTAAGATCCCACAATCAATAATTCCGGCTCACTTAAGATTCTGCTGTTAAAAAATAAACCAAACAAAGCAACAACAAATTTTACTACACAAGAGTCATCACTAAGATAAACTACCCCCCTCTGGAGTGTAATAAGGGACTAAAAACGCTGCTCTCCATAGCATACTTTACTGAAAAAAGAAAAAAACAACCCTTCAAAGGTTATCCACGCTCATGCATGCGGTCATACCTCCAAGGGTGCTGCTATCTCTCTCTCTCTCTCTCTCTTTTTAAAAAAAAATATTTGAAATCATTGTGCGCTCCACTTTGTGAAAACCAGGAAACAAAATTATTGTGATCAATAATATTATTTATAGACCAAGACATACTGTTAGCAATCAGATAAAGCTGGCATCGACCCTCTTTTGTGTCGGCTATTCCTTACACATAAAGTTAGTTATGGCACACGCTTAGAATTATGCAATCATATATCTTAAATTCAGTTTAAAAGTTGTTGTTTTTTTTATCCATTTCTTATAATTAAATATTTTAGCATCTTGAAAGATTATCTTTATAATTTGGTATGTTTGATAATTGTATGTTACTCGGACACGTTTTCTTCTTGTTTTACGCATCTTTTTGATTTTTAAACTAGATTATAACATACAACTCTTGAAGAATTGTACAGTCCGTATCACACACAGAATTTTTTTTTCTCCCTGTCATTATCCGTCAGCCCGTCAGTTGATCACAATCTCTCTCTCTCTCTCTCTCTCTCTCTC